CTCGCTGCCCTCCCCCGACCCGGACTTCCTCTCCGTGTCAAGCTGCCCTGCGCTCTATCGGAACGAAGAGGAGGAGGAGGCCATTTACTTCTCTGCTGAGAAGCACTGGTAGGGGCGGCGCGCGCTGTAGAACCGGGCCGGGCTGGGGGCGCGGGGCGGAGGGCCCGCGTGCGGAGGGCGGTGCATCGGCTTTAATTTGTGGGGTTTGGGGGAGGCTTTGCCGTAAGGTACGAGTCCCCATTGCAGAGAGACGGGGAGGAAAAGGGAGAAATCACTCTCGGGGGCGGGGGCGGGGGCACGGCCATGTGGCAGCCCTTTCTTCCCCATTTTTGTCTTACGATTTGCACGTTCACATCTGCACCTGGCATGATTTTCAAGCTGTTGGGTCCGGGACTCAGGTGGTTGGCCAAGTGGGAGTCCAGCGCCTTCCCCGCCACGCCACCTGCTGGCCCCTCGGTGTCTTCTTGCTGAGGAGGGCGGATCAGTAGCTCCAAACAGCACCTGTTACTGGCTCCTCCTGACCTGTCAGTACTGCACAAGCCCACGCCAGTGTGACTTGCTTTTCTGCTTAGTGTCTCGCATGGCGGAAATCAAGCTACTGGCCGGGCTGCATTCTCATCTGGAGCCCAGGGGCCTCTGCAAAGCTGCACTGGCTGTGGCCCAGTTCAGTCCCGTGTGGTTAGGGGACAGGTCTGTTACTGCTGGCTCTCAGCAGGGGTGCTCTTGGTTCCGAAAGGCTGCCACTGTTTCCTGCCCCATGATGTCCGTCTTCCAAGCCCGTGTCCGTTCTGTACAAACCTCCTCTGCTTGGACTGTCTGACTCCCTCTACCACTGATCGCTAGACTTAAGTTGAAGGGCTCATCTGAATAATAATTTGTTTACAAAGTTTTTGGGAAAATGGAATTAAAGTACTTCAGAAATTTTTGGGAAAACGGAATTAAAATACAAGTTTATATTGGTACAGGAATTTTAAGTGGATATGTACGTTTTTCATAATGCACATTTTCCACAAATTTTTTGAAGATCCCTCATGTATTGAGATCAACTAGTTTGGGATCTTAATTTTATCTGCAAAAACCACTTCATTGCATCACTTACTTCTATGTTTGTTTGAATAACTGGAAGAAGATCTGTGTATGCCACGGGTTGAGAATTCTGCTTACCACAAGCATAGATGTATATTTTGAGATGTAACTGCCTAGAGGTAACGAGACACAGTTCACTCGGGTCTCAGACATAAACTTGTATCTGAGCCGTTTTACACGTAAAATACAAAAGCATCAACTTCAATATACTTGCGCACAGAAAGCAGCGAATAGGGCTATTTTCAGATATTTGTTACCACTTACTAATTTAATCTGTTAAGTGCCGATACTAGCACACAAGTAATATCATCTGCCAGAGGTGAATTCAAGTTAATAATAATAAACAAGTTAATATATTTTGCATATCGGGAAGTGCCAGGTCGATAAAGACTGGGGAAGGGAGATTGCTGTTTGTGAGAGTGGGTTAGGGGAGGTGTCCCCGGGTGACAGGGAGCAGTAAGCCTCAGAGACGGAGAGGCGGTCACTCCAGGCCGAGGGGCAGCACGTGCAAAGCTGTGAGAGTCCCACTGTGGCATGTTGGAGGACTAAGATTAAACTGCAGGACAGCGAGGGAGAGGGCCCTGCAGTTGGTGGGTGTAACCGGGGGCCACGAGCATCGGCCTCGCAGCTTTGTTTTACTGTGAGTGCGAGAGAGCACAGTGACAGTGTGAGCAAGTAAACGATGTGCCCTAGTCCAGAGCTTTTCAAAATCACTAAGGCTGCGTAGAGGAGTGACGTGGAGGGAGTACCGGTGGAGGCAGGGAGGCCGGCTAGGAAGCCCTTGCAGTCGCTTAGCTGAGTTCACGAGGATTTTGGAAGAGGTAGCTGCGTGGGTAATAGAGGCGGTGGGTTTGAGGCATGTTTTGAAGGAATGGCTGATAGCATTTAACACATGTAGACTGTGAGGTTACAAGCTTTATTTTTTCACTTCCCTCTTATTTCTCTTCTTTTTACTCTGTGGAGAAAGGGGGCAAAATATTCACAAAGGAAGAGCCTTATGAAAATGTGATCGTTTCCGGTTTTTAAAAGAACAGTATGGAATGGTGCCTTTTCCCTCCCACCCATGCCCACCCTGCCACACCTCAGTCCCCCCTGCCTGCTTTTTAAGATTGTTGAGGCGGAACATTTTAGAGTTGTAGATTCTTCCCTTCTTCACAAAGCTAAATTTCACCAGCTTCGTTACGGAACAATTACACAAAAGGAGAGATAGTTACTAAAATTAGTCTTTTCAAATATGTACTGTCAACTTTGTGATTTTCAGTGAAAAATACTCAGTATGCAACAAAATACATAATACAGACATTGCTGAATGGTCAGGAACAAATCCATAAAATTTAAGTTTCTTCATTTCTCTGATAACTGAAGAAGGTGTACCTTACGTTACATTGTTTCTTAAGATTTTTATTATTATAATTGATGTTAAAAATTGAACATTGAGTGTTGGTAAGCTATATTGTTTAAAGTAGTAACTTTCCCATTTTGTTGAAATGTATATAGATTTGTAGCGTTTTAAATGTCCGCAGACTAACCAGTGCAAGGTATTTGAGGTACACGTAGACTCTGCTGGTTACGGACTGGTTACGCATTGATGTGAATGTCTGACTTTGCCTCTGTCTCGTTCAGGGAAATACCAGACACGGCTTCAGAATGTGACTCCCTGAATTCTTCCATCGGAAGGAAACAGTCTCCTCCTTCAAGCCTTGAGATATACCAAACGCTGTCTCCTTGCAAGATATCCAGAGATGAGCTCTCGCTAGACGACTCCTCCAGAGGAGACTCCCCCGTACCTGCAGACCTCTCTCGAGGCTCTCCCGATTGCGTAGGTCTGACAGAAACCAAGAGTATGATCTTCAGTCCCGCCAGCAAAGTGTACAACGGCATCCTGGAGAAATCCTGTAGCATGAACCAGCTCTCTAGCGGCATCCCGGTGCCTAAGCCTCGCCACACGTCATGTTCCTCAGCTGGCAACGACAGTAAACCAGCTCAGGAAGCCCCCAGTGTTGCCAGGATAAGCAGCATCCCACACGACCTTTGTCATAATGGCGAGAAAAGCAAAAAGCCATCAAAAATCAAAAGCCTTTTTAAGAAGAAATCGAAGTGAACTGGCTGGCTTGGTGGAAATCCATTCAGGTGGCATCTGTAAACTTTGTCCTCCACTTCCTTTTTATTTTTGTTTTACTTTCAGGAATGTAACTCCACTGGGGCTTCCCAGACCGGATGCCATAGTGGGATGTCCTTAAGGGCAACTGTCTGCTGTCTGCTTATTTAAGTGACTGTATTATCAATTTGTCAAGCCAGTTATTACCGAGAAATTACTAAGAGCTGAGACAGTTTACAGTTATTGCTGCCTATTTATTTCTGCTTTGTTATTTAGCGACGTCTAGACGACATTTTTGTTGGAAGCCACTATGGACTTACAGGCTTTAACGGACTAGTAAGCCAGCATGGGCTTGCAAAAGTTTCTTGTTTACCAGAGCATCTTCTTATCTTTCCACAGAGCTATGTACATCTTGGACTAAATAACTTAAAAGAAGTAAAACTAATTGCACTACTGTTTTTCCAGACTGGGAAAAAAAAAATCTCTGCAAGTGAAACTGTATAGAGTTTATAAAATGACTATAGACAGGGGACTGCTTTCACTTTTAGATCAAAATGGGTTTTTAAGTAGAACCTAGGGTTTCTAATTGACTTGATTTCTGGAAATGAAAACTCATGCTTTTATTATGGGACGCTTCTTTAAATGCATTTAATATGATAAAGTTTCAAGTCCTGCTGTAAAGATCATGTCGTTTTGTTTTCGCCAGGGCTTTCACTGAGATATACTGCATTGCAGGCTGTATGATAAAATATACATAACCGTAAGAGAGGAGGCTCTTGATTCCTTTGCAAGTGGAAGAGCTGAAACTTGATCGAAGGACTTAAAACATTCACAAACTTAAACCGACGTGGGGGGATGTGTGGATTCAGGCACCTGTTTACAGACTTTAAAAAACTGCAAAGGATGTATGGTTTGTGAAAAATGTGTACTGTGGAAAAGATAATAAATTGGAGACGTTATTGTGTGGGATTGTGCTGATTTTTGTTAATAACACTCCACTAAAACACTATGTTTTCTGGAGAGCTGTGTAAACTGTCTGTTGCTTAATTGCAATATAAGAAATAGTAATGTTCTGGAAGTAAGTTGTCAACAAATTTCCTTCTATTTTATATTGTTTGTCATATTTTTATGTAGTTTGAAATGTTTAAATGTCCTAATATCAAAATTAACAAATATAAATTTATGGTGCATTTAGATTGTGTTGTATTAATTCGTAAAGTTTGGTGTTCATTAAGTTGATAGGCTTTATAAGGGTAGCTTTTACTATGAAATTAAGTCACAGAGAGCAACAAAGTACATTAACATTTTATATCACTTTTAAAAACTAAGTCATAAGAGACCAGCAGTTAGTGTAATGACTATGTCGCTGGACTCCCATGTAGTCAACTGTGGTTCGAGTCCCAGACCCGGTGGCTTAAATTCACCCTGGGCATGTGTGCGTGCGTGCCTAAGATCCCGAGAGGAGAATGGAGAAGGGATTGCGGCGTGGCCATCCCCCCTGGGGGGTGATTTCTCGCTTTCTGTCTCTGTCTCTGTCTTTCTGACGAGCGCATGTGCCCTATAGCAAAAACCTCTCAAAAAAAGAAAAACTAAGTCATAAATGATCTGGTAATGCAACGTGGATGGATGGATGTTTGGGTGAATAACTGGTAACACATTAGCTAGAATGGTTTTTCAGCATTATGGATAAAATTCCCAATGTCTAACCCTGTGCCATTCAGGGGAAAATGCTAACTGATAAACATGCAGTTTCTTTGAAATTTGCTGCAAAGAAATGTTTTAAGAAGATGAATAATTTCCTGAAGTCTCCTGTAAATTGTGATTGTTTATTCTCTTTAGTATTGTTGTTGAGAATTATTAAGGGCTTGAACGGTATTTTTATAGGCAGATGTTTATATATTTAGTAGATGGAGTGCCGTAAGGGCAAAAATTGATTGACTGAATGAACATGGTGTTTTGGATTATTAATGAGGTAAGGTAACCTGAAAGGGAGAGTTGTGGAGAGCAAAGTCTGAATCTGTGTGAGAACAAATTGTGCATTAAGAATGGAAAAGCATTCTGGAAAATCTATTCAGATTGAAGGGAAGGCCTTGTCGTCTTTTTTGTTCTTACAGCCAGATAGAAGGAGTTCCTTCTTTTTGAAAATTGCAGAAGGGATGGGAGTTGGTAGTTTGATGGACAGAAAAGATGAACAACTCTGGAGTCTGGAGTGATGCTGGGAGGAAGAGATGCCAGCAAGGCCTACTACTTGTCTCGGAGTAGAAGAGAGCTGTGGGTCAGGGCCAGCTGGAGGCTAGGACTCTTGCTTAGAGGAGGGGAGGCTGGCCAGAGAGAGAGAGGGCCATTTTAAGTCAGGGAATGCCTTGTTTGGGCTAAATTTAATACACTTGTTTATAAACAATTTCAGCCAAGGCATACTCATTGCTTTGTGTTGCTTGTAATATTTATTTTGCATAATACAATACTCTATATTTGTAAATTTAACAGAAAATAATTGAGTTTTGGAAAACCACACAATTTCTGTATTTTATCATTGATATGTGATACATTGGACATTTTTATAAATGTTTTAATTCAGTCATTTGTTAACCTTATTTTAACCTCTTAAAATTACTGTGTTCTCCTGGTTTTAAAAGTATTATCTTTCTTACTGTTTTAAAAAAATAAAAAAGAATGATAGAGAAGTATCGAGAAGAAAACAACAGCAAACAGGTCCATTCTACCATCCAGAATAACCACATTGAATATTTTGATATATTTTTCTGCTGGATCTTTTTCTACGTATTGATGTATATATTTTACATAATTGAAAATCATAATATATTCAATTTTTATATCATGCCTTTTCACTTCTCCAGCATCATTAAAAATTCTTCATGGACAACATTTTAATGACTGTATAATATTACCCCATTGTATGGGTTTTTCATGATTTTTTCATCATTTTCCTATCATTCAATATTAGGCTGTCTCCAGATTTCTGCTATGCGGAGTAATAGCATTGGAAATTTACTGCATACTCTATATTCCAGGCACCATTCTGAAGTCTAACACGCTTTCTCATTTAATCGTTACAACAACCTGTAAAATGGGCACTCTTCCCCTCATTTGAAATCAGCATTTATTACTGGTGAGGAAACTCAACCCAGAAAATAATTTGCATAAGTAAACAAAAGTAAATTGCTGAATAGAGCTAGTAATGACAGAGGCCATGTTAACTTCTAAGTCTACTGGCTACATTCGAATCGCATTTTCATTTCTTGGGATGGATAGATAGGCAGAGTGTGAGGAACAGTATAAAGATGTTTTTAGTTTACATTTTTATATGTATGTATGTCCGTAGGCACACACGGTCTCACTTAAGTTGGGTGAAATTGTTTCTGAGGGTTTTTATATCACTGAGTGGGTATCTCCCTTTTCTCCAATACTTAAGTATACAAGTACTCTTTCCATTCACACCATTATTTCTGAATTATTCAGGATTGTTGCCTTTTTAAGACTTTACTAATTTGGGACCAGCAGATGGCATAATAGGTATGTTGCTGAACTCTCACGTGGCTGGCCACGCTTTGAGTTCTGGATCCATCAGCTTGAAACTCATGCCAGGCGCCTGTGCGTGTGTGCCCAAACCCCTGAGAAGAGAAGGGAGGAAAAGGGATTATGGCATGGCCAAACCCCTCCTCCAGGAGAGGATGATCTCTCACTTTCTGTCTCTCTGGAGAGCACATGCACCCTGTAACAAAAATCTAAAAAAAAAAAAAAAAAAAAAAAGACTTTGCTAATTTAATAATGCCTAGTAAGATTGAAAAGTTTTTTTCATGTTTTATCAGCTTTGTGTATTTTTCATGTCAATGAATTGTTCATTTATTTTACCTATTAAGATTTGAGATCTTAGTGTTTTTATAAATCTTTTGAAGTTAGTCTTTCAAATATAGCTATTCTCGTAGTCTTCATTTACTAACTAATCAGAAACGTTTTAAATCACATATGCATTTTCATACTTATTTAAAAAGTAAGTGCATGAAAACTTAGGCTTCTTTTAGACTTATTGATATTGAATGGGACAGTTTCACTTTGTTTATATAGTCAAGGTGTATGCTCCCCAAAAATCTACAGGTAAGAAACAATATGGAATCTGCTTAATTCATTCAACAGTTTTTTCAAAGAATTATTTTATTTAACTTTATTTTTATTTTAATTTGACCAGAGAGGGGCAGAGTGAGAGAGAGAGGGAAAGCATGCCACCAGGTCCAGGACTCGAACCACAGTCAGCCATGTGGGAGTCTGGCACCCTTAATCACCGTGCCATCTGCTGACCCCCATTCAATAAATATTACTAGGTATTGGGATAAGCTCTGAAGGTATAAAGACTGATATGACAAGTGCTAACTTTTTAGGAACTTGATACTTAATAAAGGAGACAGATCAGACAACAGTCTTGGTAATGAGTAGGGTGATACAACTAGAAACCAAATGTTGGGGAAATGAGGCTAATCGGA